ACCGAGGAGCTGTAATTGCAGTAGTTGTGTATGACATAACAAATCCACACTCATTCAACAAAGCTCGGTACTGGGTTAAGGAGCCACAAAAACATGGGAGCCCTGATATTGTCTTGGCTCTGGTAGGGAACAAAGCTGACCTCCAACAAAAACAAGAAGTATCTATCGAAGATGGTATGAACCATGCGGAGAAGAATGAGATGTTCTTTATTGAGACATCTGCAAAGACAACATATAATATTAATCAGCTATTTGAAGAAATTGCTAAAAGGTTGCCTCGTGCTCCCTCTTCATGATTGCAGAAAGGACACCAATCGCACTATAGATTACAAAATTCCAAAACCTCTCTTTCTTCTGCATTGTACTTCTGAATTTGTTTATATCGTGAATTACCCTATTATCTTTGATCTATTTATAATGAGTTTTCGGAATGATTCAAAAAAAAATGTCTGTCGGGAAGCAGATTGGTTATATTTTTCATTACAGAAGGAGCATCAACAACCTTAATGAATTCACAGAAATCTTAATTTCGATGAGAGATCATACACAACAACTATTGAGGTGCAGATCAAATGAGAGGAAAGGAAGCCAACCGGCCGGTAATGCAAACCTGGGTAGAAAGAGCGGATGCCATATTAACACAAGTTCATAGTTGGTTTTTCTAACCCTGAAAATGCAGAGAGAAATAACAGTGAATGTTTTATTGGATATTGTCTTGCTCAGTAAAAGAGAAGAGTTGAAGATAGTGGAGATCAATTCCGTAGTCCTTTCATTTCGGAGAGTTGGGAGAGAGAAAAAATGAGAGAGGACTATGAGGGAGGGGAAAAGAAGATAAGAAAGGAAAAACCATAGGTTAAATAGGTTTTAAGAGAAAAAGAGCAAAAAAAGAAAATAGAAAAAGTTTAGTAGGGTATTTTGGTAATTTAACACATTTTGTCATCTGACTTAACGGTCAAGGGGGGCCTTTGTCTCATGGTCATGGTATGGGGGGTCTTTGTTGCAAAACAAAGTACAAGGGTGTCTTTGTCATAGACCCCATAGTACAGGGGGGTCATTGTAATTTACCTTTTTTTTATTTTTGTGATTCTTTGTATTTTCTATTATTAAATTTTTTTTTATTTGACTATGGCATCATTTAATTTCTAGGTAGGTTTTGAATTTGACTTTCCATTTTTATCATTAATAAAAATACTTCTTACATTTCATAGTTATTTATTTTAATTTTTTATTATTTAATTATGACATTATTTATTAATCCATTTGACCCCAAATGGTCAAATTGCTTGCCCACCACCGGGAGGGAAGAAAATGGTTTTGTTTTCAAATTACTTTTCAAAATATTTATTTTTATAATATTAAAATTAATATTGTGGATTTGATTATAAGAATTTAATGATGAGAAAAAAATATTTTAAATATAGGATTTAATGAGAGAGAATAGGTAAATATTTTTATTTCCAATTGGTTTTAAATTTTACATTCCATTTTCATCATTAATAAAAACATTTCTTATTTAATATACTTATTATTGTTTAATATACATGTTAAAAATTTTCACAATTTTTTTAATTTCTATTTTCTTCATTTTATCTATTTTTTTAATTTTATTATTTAACCGTGGCAGCATGGATTAACCCATTTGACCCAAAATGATTTAATTTCTTACCACCACTTAGATGAAAACGCTATTTTTGCTAGGTAGATTTCAAAGGTATAAGCTTTTATGTTATTAGAATTATTAATTTATTAAGTATAGATTTAATTAATAGAACTTAATGATGAGAAGAAATAAAAATGACTTAAATATATGATTTATTGAACATGAATGCAAGTTAATAACTTAAATGTTGGATTTAATGAGAGAGGATTGAATGCATTGAATATATTTAAATTACCTCTTTTCAACTCATTTAATATAAAAAATCAATTACCCTATTTGCCCTCATTTTTTATCACTAAACTTAAATATAGAGGGGTAAATGTTGTCCTTAGAAAATTCCATAAATATTCTTAAGGCCATTCGTACTTTTTAAAGTAGTATATATAATACAATTTCTAATTTTAAAAATATGAGTAGAAATAATATTTAAAGCATGTGACATGCACATATGATATGAAATAATTTACCATTTAAACATGTTTTTAATTGAGGTTTTAAAATATTTATTGTTGAATCATTATTACTAGCATTATCAAAACTAATAGAAAATAATTTATTCTCAATTCCATAAGCACAAATATAACTTATGTTAAATTTAGAAACTCCAAACATTAAAAGTAATTGCAAATTTAGAATTAATATTTGATAACATATGAATTAAATTTTGTTTATGTGAATAAAAAATTTTAAAGCATCTAATCTAATAGTAATTCTATAAACATTTTTATATTGTGGATTTACAAAATTATGTAACCATTTTTCAAGTTTAGTATCTTCAGCTAAAAAAAATTGTTGTCCAACATGTACAATGTATTTTGCTAATTCTTGCCTCATTTTTTTCTTGAGAATATTTAATGTACCAAACCCCCACCCAATTTGTGTTTGTATTGTTTCTCTCCCTTCTTCTTCTTCTTCTTCTTCTTCTTCTTGTTCTTCATTCTCATGGGTGAGCAAATGTCTGCTCAAATGGTCAGTACCACCCTTGCTACAATAGCTAAAGTCTTTCATACATTTTTGGCAAATAGCTCTTTTTTCCTTCCCCTCAACATCCTCTATTTTAAATATTTTCCAAACTGGGCTAATCAACTTAGAGACCCTCTTTTTCTTTCCCCTAGTATCGATACTAGGGGTGGAAGTTCCATCAATATCAATAGCATCCATATTGGTGCTAACATTATCATGATGCAACTGAATATTGTTGACATTGAACATGTTGGGGAATTAGTTTTGGGAGGAGCTGACCATTTTTTTAAATTCTAAAAAAATAAAAATTAATTTAATTGGACTTACTCAGATTACTGGTTTGGAATCCCAACTTGATTTCAACGATTGAAGCATTTCAACTCTAAGAGTCCAAACCTCACAAATTGCTAACTTGAGATACTTGAGCTGGTTGAGCAAGCCTTCTTCTTGTTGAATCTTCAATAAAGTTGAGAATTGGAGAAACAGTTAATCAGAGTCCAAATAATGTATGAGAGATTGAAAATTTGAAATATTGGGAGATTGAAACTTGAGAGAGTATGAGAATTAGAGAAGAGATTAAGATAATTGTTGAATTGGTGTGATGAGAATGGTGGAGGATAGAGTTATTTATAGGAATTGAAAATAATCTAATTGCCCAAAATACCCTAAAAACTAGTTATTTTTTAGTTGTTGGGATGTGTATTTTGGTCATCGTAAAGTTATTTATCACTTTACCCAAAATGCCCCCTAAAGTAGTTGTTATATAGCTGTTGGTGGCATCTGTGTCTTTTTCTCCCCCTCCATAACCAAAATACATAAACACCCCCTATATAGCTGTTGGGGGGGTATTTCTGTAAACCTACCCAAAAAGCTGAAACTAGCCATTGGGGGGGAGGGGGGTCCCCAACGACTAGTTCTCGAGTGGGCTGTGCCGCGCACAATTGTGCTGTGCCATGCCGGCTCATGGACTTTGAACCCTAGGCCCAACACAACACAGACCATCGTGCTGGGCTTGGCACTGCAGGTGGCACGACTTGATTTACACCTATAGGCTTGAGTTTATACTTTTGCGCAAAATAACAATAGCACCCCTTTTCTCACATGAGAACGTTCTAAACTTGTTCGCTATTAGACATGAATGTTGTGGGAACCACACGTTCCGAGAGAACATATTCTTTGAGAGCGTCAATTTGTAATTACGAAACAACACATTCTTTGGGTGTTGTTCTCATGTGGGAATGACTCGTTTCTTTTGTTTTTTCTGCCAAACACGTTTTTGTTCCGCAAGAATGTTGGGAACAGTAGAAACATTCTCCTGTAACGTTGCTAAACAGGGCCTTAGATTCCATTTGGGAAGAGTGCAAATATAAATGTGCACAATACAAATATATATAGTGCAAATACAAAAATGACAGTATTAGACCTAAGGAGCTAGAATGGCTATGTATTTAGACCTGCTCATGGGCCAAATGGTCCGATGGGCTGGCTCAACTCAACCCATTCTTTTTAGGTTGGACAAAGTTTTAGACATGCGGATTTGGGCTTGGACTTTCTCAAATAAGCCTACTTGATAATATTGTATAATTTATAATATATTATTAACAATATATAATTTAATATATTATAATATATATTTCTAGGTTGGGCTTGGATTTTATATGAGGACAGGGTTTAAAATCTAATTTTAGGTCCAATGGTTGAGTCAAGCTCTGGCTCAAGCCTGATCTTTTTTTTTTTTTGTTAATAAAAGGCAAAATCCAAACCTTGCCTCACTGTGAACAAGTCTATATGTATAATTGATGATAATGGTGAAACAAGATTTACTTAGCGAACCCCATATAGTGGGAAAGAGGCTTAGATGATGAATAATTGATGATAATGGTATAAATATTATATTATGACACAAACAATACATATTTATATATAATTTTTTTTATTTATATAAAGTATATAGACCCGGACATGATGAGCCCTAGTTATTCAACACTGACTCACTGAGCCTCTATTCCCAAGGCTGCAATTGAACCTGTCACCATCATTTGATTCATGTCCCACAAGGGAAAAAGACTAATGGGGTTCACTGAATGTGGACAACCTTTTAGACTTTGGTGGTCGTCTATGGAACTGGAAACGGGAAAGCATTCAGATTCCAGAGTCCGAATATTGTTTCTGTTTGGGAAATGAGAAGACCTTGAAGCAATTTACATGAAAATTAATTATATTCATGGGCCCGTTGACCTTGACCCTTGACCATTCTTCAGGTTTACCGGGTCGGGTGCAGGATTTCCACCTGATTGGTCTGATCAGATGATTCAGATCGCCACCAAAATTAAAAAAACTAAATAAAAATAAAAATAAAAGATAATATAATAAGGGGCGAGGCTTTAAAGCTCTGAAACAGTAGTCTTGACGCTTGAGTTGTGCAGGTGTTTTTTGCAGAACGAACTCCATCAATGGCTGCTTCCCTGTCGAACCATTTAACGTCAATTCCGAGATCGAGATTGGGGTCTTGTCCAGATAATCGGCTTCTCAAACAATCTCGGGTTTTTACAGCTTCGAATCTCCGGAAGTCTCCTGGGATTAGGAGGATCTCTTCGCCTGTTGTCTGTAAAGCGGTTTCTGTGAAGCCTCAATCAGAGATTCAAGGTCTCAACATTGCTGAAGATGTCACCCAGGTGAGGAAATGGAGCTACTTGTCTGGATTGTCTATGGAAATTGTGAACTGGGTTCTGGTTTTAATTGCGGATTTTTAGTGGGAGTGAATAAAATTTGAAAGTTTAAACTCTCCCGATGAAAAAATAAAAATTTAGAAACTTGTGACATTAGAGCTGCTTCCCTTTTAGTTTTTCTATTGTCATTTTCTATAGGTATCGGAGAGATATACTGGTAATGTGATTACTATAGTTATCTGCTTATCTGGGTTTCGTTTATTTGGTAAGGCAAATAACATAAACAAGTGTTTATGTAGATGGAATGATTAAGTAGGTTTGTAATTTAAGTGTATAATTTTTAACCGATTCAAAGTTCTTACTGTTGGTCCAAGAAATCCACAACCAAATATATGCGTGTGTATGCTAATTGTTTACAGTGAATAACCATCAAAACTGAAAATTATATTCGTAACCTCAAAGGCTCAGTTCACATAATGGGGGGGTTCTTATGGAATGCTTACGGAATCAGAAATAGCTCATATTTTTCTCTTTTTTTCCCCTCTTCTGTAAACAAAAAATAACAGTATTGAACTTCATACATATATTCAAAGTTTGTTTTCCATTGCATGATATGTTAAAATCTCAAGACTAATTAAGTTCTCTTCTTTTGGTTCCATTGGCCTCTCTGTAAAAGCTTATTGGAAAGACTCCAATGGTCTACCTGAACAATATTGTAAAAGGTTGTGTTGCCAACATTGCTGCCAAACTTGAAATAATGGAGCCATGCTGCAGTGTCAAGGATAGGTGAGATTTCTTTCTTTTATTCTTTTTGTTTTTCTTTCCTTATTTTTCATTTCTAATCATCTACATATTCATCTAGTTGACTTTCTGATTTTTTAATGGCTTTTCATTTCAGGATAGGTTACAGTATGATTGCTGATGCTGAACAGAAGGGAGTTATAACACCCGGAAAGGTAGACAAATGATAGATTTAACTGTTATGGACATTTACTATACTTTCCAGGTTCCATTACTACACCATGCCCCATCTATCTTGTTGAGAACCTCATGGCTTGCGAAGTATTACTATTTTCTATCTGATAGATGCATAACTAATGTAAACTGCAAATTTTAAGGGGCCATAGCTTGGTGCAATGGTAAAAGCTTGGGCTGATTAATGTGAACACAGGTTCAAATCTGAGAGTGGCTACTTTATGCAAAAATTACCAAAGGCTAGGTCTGTAATAAGCAGTCCACTCCTCCCAAGAGCCCAAGTAGCTGGGGCCAAATAATGGTTTTTTTTTTTTATGTGGTTTTGCTGATCTGCTTGATCATTACTGGGAAAGCTACTTCATGGATGTTCATGGTCCATGTCATCAACCATACTACTGTATATTCATATTGATCATATTGATGCAATATTGCAATAGAGGCAAAGCGCTATGGATGTTTAAATATTTTTTAAAGGGAAGGAGTTGTGTAGTTCAGAGTTTTTCCTCCTAAAACCTGTTTTAGTAATTTTTCTATTTGTGTCATTTTATTTCATACTTCTGTTTGTTCCTTTTCTTGTAGAAGGGAAGGGTGGGGTGGGGGTTCTTTGAGATTATACCATTGCCCTGGTTATAACTGAGTCACTTAAAGATTTCCTGGCAATGTCATTTGTATTGTTTTTGAAGTTACAACTTTGCTTCTTCCACAGCTGATAATTTCCAGAAAATTGGTTCTGCATTCTTGGAAACATGGCTCTTTTTGGAATTATTTCTGCATTCTCAGATACAGTTCTCTTTTTCTCTCTCTCTCTCTGTGGAATTCTATCTCCATCTTCCCTATTAGTCCCAGTCTGAATGGTTGTAAGCATAGAAAACCTGGCTTTTCAGACCTAATAAATTGCAAAATGACTCATTCTGCAATTTGCAGAATAGTTTATTTGCTTCATCCATGAGCCAATTTGCTAATTGTGAATCTGTGATGCATCACTCTTTTCTTTTACATGGTGGATAGGGGGTATTTTACAAAGAAAGGAAAGTAAAAGCTTTTACCTTTATAAAAGTGAATTAAAATAACAATAGTATGGTATGTATAGAAAAAGGGAAACCATGGAAAAAGTGTAGTTGCTGATGTTTGTTTTCATAATTCAAAGGAAAGAATTAAAGTTTCTCAGCCAAAAATAGCATTATTATACAGTGAACCATGCATTATGGAGCATGAACTGTGAAAGGTTTACCAACTAGGTAATATGGGGCACATTTCCTAGTAAGTTGAATGATAGGAAAAGCTATGCACAACTGTTGTCCAAAATTGAACATCAAATAAATGAATGAATGGAAATTGCATCCATAACTTCCAATCTGGTGTACCTAGTTACCTACCACATTGATATAATTTGTCTTAGTTGATTTCATTACTTATCTTTTTCTTTCTGAATTTATGCTTTCCTTTTCTTTTACTAGAGCATTCTGGTGGAACCTACAAGTGGAAATACGGGCATTGGTCTTGCATTTATTGCTGCTGCAAAAGGGTATAAACTCATTTTGACAATGCCTGCATCAATGAGCCTGGAAAGACGAGTCCTCTTGAAGGCATTTGGTGCGGAGCTGGTTCTCACTGACCCAACCAAGGGCATGAAGGGAGCAGTTCAAAAGGCTGAAGAGATTTTGAAGAGCATACCCAATGCATACATGCTTCAACAATTTGACAATCCTGCAAATCCAAAAGTATGCGGTTAGGTCTATTAAACTTCTTCCTTTCCATTTTGCCTATAAATAGTCAGAGTGTTTATTATTGGGTTAACTCTGATATTCAGAAATTGCTTTCTCTTGCAACCTTGTGGTCAATGAAGAAATTACCAAAAGAGAAATATGCAAGTCAGGGAGATAAGAGGTTGTCCTACCTAAAGATATATGATTTGACACCATCATCTGGAGTATGCACCTAGAAAGTGTTATCTATAAATTGGATGGTTCTGGGATTAAGAGTCAAGACCCATCCAACAAGGATAACATGCCATCTGAGAGATCATGTGGATGGAAGCATGAATTTATGTCCTGATTTGGTTGCATGGTGCTCTATGCCTGGATCAAATTGGATAGGCTTTTCCCCTTCAATTTTACAAGCTTTGACCTATTCTTATATTCTTTATGCAGATTCACTATGAGACAACTGGTCCAGAGATCTGGGAAGACACAAGTGGTAAGGTGGACATATTCGTTGCAGGGATTGGGACAGGTGGAACTATCTCTGGGGTTGGTCGATTTCTGAAAGAAAAAAATCCTGACATAAAGGTAAGTAATATTTTCTGATTACTCTGGAAAAAAGACATCTGATATTTATTCCATATTCATGCTCATTTGCATCGACATGCAGTTTCTAGGACCATGGTGCCATGCAGCTATGCTGAACATATGTAGGTTTTAGATAACCTAGCCAACATGCTAAATGCCTTTAACAGTCTTCTAAAAGCTACGAGAGGTAGGGATCCTTAAGCATTAGAGAAAGCCCTTAGTTGAATTCAAGTGGTAGAACATGCATTCAAGGCATATCTTGGGGCTTGAGAAAAAAGCCATTGGCTCTATCAAATTCTTGCTTCTTATTTTTCCCCTTGAAAAGTAATGATAAAAAGGATTGCAAAGCTCTTATCAATTTTATGGAAAAAGTGTAGAAGATTAAAATATATGATATATAAAGTAGATATTTGTGGAATAATAAGAAATAACTGTGGTCATATTCTTCTCAGCTAGTCTGGATGTATTGGGTATAACAACTCTCTAAAAGCAGAAATCCTAGCCCTTTTGCAAGGCCTAAAACTGGTTTCAAGGCAGGTATGGTCAATCTTGGTGTGGAAGGTTATTGTAAAATTCTTTTAAGTTGGTCAAGACAATGTTTTAAAACATGGAGGTGTGACACAAGGCGTTCCACTACTTGGTGGCGTGAGGTGTAGTTCAGAACATAAGAGGCATAAGCCTCCTGAGTACAAGGAGGAGTAAGCCTCCTTAAGAGGAAGTGGACCAGTTGGAAGGAGGAGTCTCCAATTTTTTTCTAATGAAATGCTTATCTACATTGATGTGCTTAGTCTTGACTTCCTGTCATGTTGAACGGCATTATGTGCTATGTTAATACTTGATAGCCACCTTTCTGTTGCAGTAGAGGGGCCTAGGGCTGCTTACTAGAAAGCCTGACTTAAGAACATTTTTCACCTATGAAATCTTTGCAACACCATTTGCCAAGGCATGATACTCCATTTTGACACTTGATCTAGCCAAGGTTCAAAATATCGATACGCCTGATATGCCGGTAGAGGCGTATCGGGCAGTATCCGTAGTTTTTTTTTTTTTTTCAAATCCGGTTCAGAGGGGTCAGTTTAAGGCTCGTCCTCCCCTGAACCGGTCAAAATCCCGATACACCCTCTGTAGGGGCGTATCGGGAAGCTCCCGATACGGGTTGATACGTATTGATATTTTGAACCTTGGATCTAGCAACTACCACTTATTTCTTGCTTTGTCATGTTACCAAGTTACCTCCAACAAAGGTACAATAGCTAATGGTAGACCTTCAATCATCAACTGAACCAGCCCAATTAGCATTTGTAGACATTTCAACCCTTAGTGACCATGTATACCAAACAAAATACCTCTACCTAGACGTTTTTTAGGTACTTGAGAACTCTCTTAACAACAGTAAAATGAGTAGCCTTGGGAGCATTCATATATTGACTGAGAAAATCCATCGTCTTCCACCAACTTCTGGAACTGCTTGATATATCAGAAATAGTCTGGTCACCACAATTTCCAAGCCTAAGATTTGGCTCTATAGGTGTGTCAGTTGGTTTGCACCCTAGCTTGCAGCTGAAGAAGATCTAGGACACACTTTGTACATAACATTTTTTAAGGAAATCAATAAATTTTTTCTGCTACCAATATAAAAAATATTTCCTTTGTGAAATTAAGATACCTTTGTTAGATTTGGCAACTTCTATTCCAAGGAAATATTTAAGGGGACCTAAATCTTTCACCTCAAATTGAAATGTGCTCCTTATTTCATATTTCTAGTTTCAAACGACAAACCTCCTCGTTACCTTTTATATGAAAACCAGGGGGTTGTACCATATACACTTCTTCCATATCTCCATTTAGAAAAGCATTTTTTTAATCTCAAGTTGATGAAGATGTCATCCTAGATTTGCAACCAAAGACAAGAGTATACATAGAGTTGATCTTTGCTACTGTTGTAAGTGTCTTTGTATAATCAACACCATACATTTGGGTACACCCTTTAGCTACCAACATAGCTTTGTACCTCTCTATAAACCCATCAACCATGGTACTTCATATAGAAGACCCATTTGCACATTATAGGCTTCTTTACTTCAGGAAGACCTACTAGTTCCCATGTGTTATTATTGAGTAGGGCATTGATTTCTTTAGTGTGGTATTGGTCCACTTAGGTAACCTTAGAGTCTCTGCAACGTTTTTAGGAAGGGAAACATTAAAGGTAGTAGAAATATAGGCATGATTAGACCTGTTCATGGGTCGGGTAGCCCGACGGCCCGGCCCGCACCCCGGTCGGGCTTGGTCATATAATTAGGCCCGCGGGCCTGACCTCAGGCCTAACACAGTAAGCCCGACTGTGTTTCGGGCTGGGCTCAGGATTTGTCAAAAAAGCCCGGCCCGACTTAGTATTATGTATTTTATAAAATATATAATATGTATTTTATATATTATATAAAATATATAAAAAATATAATATTTATAATTTAATATATATATATTTTTTATTCTTTTCTTTATAATTTCAATCTCTCTCTCTATTCAACCGCTTCAACATTAATAATAGTAATAGTATAGGCTAAATTTCGGGCCCGGGCCCAGGCTCGGGCTTCGGGCTTTTTATGAGAGCCAGGCTCAGGCCCAAGTTGTAGGTCCGATGATCGAGCTAGGCTCGGGCTTGGGCCTTAGAAAAATTTGTTAATACACAGTAAAAGCCCGACCCGGCCCATGAACAAGTCTAGGCATGATAAGAAGGGGACTAATAATTACAGGTATAGTTAGCAATTGGATGTTTAGTAGTACAAGATCTAACACCCCTATGGACAACAATCGGCATGCCAAGATTGTCAAGGGTGGAATAAAGAAAGGAATAAGCAACACCTCGACCGGAGGAACTATTTTTCAGGTTTGCCTCCTAGCAAGGTTCAAAGTTTCGATACAGTCCGATACACCAAATTGGGTGTACCGGACTTTGTATTAACACTCTTTTATAATTTTTTTTTTTAGTTTTTTTGTTCAAAATATGTTCAGGGGGTTGGTTAAAGGCCTGGTTACCCCCTGAAACAGGTCTTACCCCGAAACTCATTATATTTCATGTATCGGTGACCCACCGACACAGGCCTATACGTGACGAAGTAATTTTGAACCTTGCGTCCTAGGGTTTATTGGTGCAGATTGCATGATTTCTGGTTGTTTCATATCTTGAGGTATGAGCTGGTCCTTCTAACAATGAGAATAAGCCCAAAGAGGCTGAGGATGAGAGATGAGAATGGGCAAGGGAAGCTGAATTACCTCTCATTACTATTACACATCTCCCCTTGAGGAGAGGCAAGGAAGAATGACTGAGATTCAAAGAAAGACACATTCATAGAGATATATGACTTCTAGGACATAGGATCATAACACTTAAACCCCATTTGAGAAGAACAATAACCAAAGAAAATACTACGAATAAACTTGGCATCAAGTTTTCCACTAGTCATGAACAAAAACACTTACATCCAAAGGTACAAAGAGGAATAGAAAAGAGAGGATACTTGAAAAAATAGTTGATATTGGGGCCCTAAAATCCAGAATTCTTGTAGACAAACAACTAATCAAGTAGGCTGTAGTAGGAATTGCATATCCCAAAAACTTCTTTGGCACATTCGTCTATATCATTATGTTACAAGCCACCTCCAATAAATGTTGGTTCTTTCTCTCAGTGACACTATTTTGTTAAGGTGTCTAGGGCAAGAACTTTGATGTAGAGCCCCGCTATTAGCAAAATCCTGAGTCAGGTTTCTAGTAAAATGTTCTTTTACATTGTTTGATTGGAAAATTTGAATCTCAACATGATGTTGCATCAATGTTGTCAAAATCTTATGATTTACAATACGATTCATGATTTGAATCATGAATCCCATGGGTTTCAATTCAAATCTTATGTTTAAATCCTTTTCTGCAAAAATCTTAATCCTTCGATTTGAACCATAAATCTTACGATTTATACAATTCTTGCAATTCACTGTGATTCAAATAAATTCAATTAAGGTTTAAGAATTAGTTCTCCACCTTGTAATTTTTTTGTTTATATTTAGTTTTGTCAAGAGAGACTTGTTCTAAAGCTCTACCAGTATTTGTTTATGTTATTTAAGACCAAATATGTAGGTTAAAGAGCTATTGTATGTAGATTTGTTTTACTTTAAAGTCAAACTTGATTATATAATCTTATGCTTCTATTGTACAATTTCACAACGTATTGGACCATATCAACCGGTATGTTGCTTTTAAGGATTTTCAGAAAACATTCGTTTTAAACATTTTTTTTTATATTATTATGACCCCCTCCCAAAATTTGAAAAAGAAAAAAAAACATGTGTTAGGTTCAAAGTACCGATACACCCATACTGCCGTTTCGCTATTTTGAACCTTGTACAAGTGGTAAATTCTATTATTTTGAGTCCATATATGGTAGATATTGACTAAAAATAAGGTAAAATCACTTTACTATATACATTTAGCTTTTCAGTATATCTATATTTAATTTTTTGACAAGTTAGTAAAGAATATAAATAACCTTATAATTTACAATATGTCGATATGATTCAACTTTCTTTGTGATTTGCAATATGATTGTGATTTTTAGAACAATGGTTGCATGTACACCATGTGATGAAATTCTTATATTAATTGTGGAACTTTTTTGGGATGAAGTAAATATATCTAGATATACTTGGATTTTTTTTTTGATAATTGAAATGATTTTACAAATCAGCAATAAAATAGTACAATGTCCTCATGGAAAGGTACGAGTTGCAACCTCTCCAGGCTAGTTAAGTACAAATTTCCGAATTAATAATAACTTACATAGAAGCACAAAAAAGATCTTCCCTATATACCCCCTGTTTGGCTAGAGCATCAGCCAAAGAATTAGCAGACCTACTAACCCATTTTACCTCAACTCTCATATT